TGCCAGGGGCCCTGCAATAACCCCAGCTAGCTCCCTCAACACCCTGGGGTGGAGAGCATCCGGACCCGCTGACTTGAACGCGTCCAGCCCCTCCAGAAGCTCTCTAACCCGGTCCTCCCCAACCTGAGGTCTGAAGGCGATCCCCTCGAGTCCGGCTTCTATCGCAGCAGGGAAGTCCCGGTCCCTGCACAAGAAAACGGAGGTGAATTTGGAGAATTTAACTTAAAATGGCATCCCCAAGTTTAGTAATGGTAAACTGTGGTTAAGAATTTAAGTAGCAGCAGGTCAGAGAGGGCTATATTTAACTCTGCTCCCTTGCCTCCACGCTTGCTTCTTATAAAGGCCAGTTACAACCCTCCTCCTCAGTTCCAGTACCAACCTTACCTCTGCCTCATCACACATCCAGCCCCCTTCCACCAATCAAAATGAGGAACCCTCACCCCTCCTCAACTATGTGTCACTACACTGATTCCACTCCTTCCATCTTGGTCATCAGTACTTGCTTTCCTATAGGATGGTTACTTGCAATTATGGTAGGATTCATAGGATTATTGATTTTAACAGTTTATTTTTCATAGTAAATATATTTAAACTGAATACAGATGCAAACAAGCACTGTTGTAACGGGTGATGTGGGGTCTGGGGTTTTATGTGTTTGTTTGATATTGTCATATATTTTATGATATTTACTATACAAGAATTGTAACTGTTTCTTCTCTGGTAGAATCCAAACACATTGTATGGTAGCCCTCATTCCTAATATGCCCTTGCCTCCCCCGGCTGAAAGAAATCAAACTGTTTTCTTCTCTTTCGGGTGTATTATAGGTACTGCTCAAGCAAATGGACAGATCCATCACACTGTACCTCCTGCCTGCAAGGAGTTTTCAGAGGCCCCAAAACAAGCAGAGATTGCAAAGGTACATAATCAAGGTTACTATTGGTGCCCTACACCCTAATGTAACTCAATTGCTGTTCCAAACAGTTTCCCCTCCCCCTCACTCTACTCTCATAAAACATTGGAGTGGGGGAGGGGAGAGGTTTGTGTGTGCAAACTTTATGGCAGGTGCACCACAAATTAGCCCCATACCCTCCCCAAGTGCCAGATGTTCCCTCCATATCAGATAAGATTCTACGTGTTTCTCCCAGCTTTCTACACTGATGCTGAACGACTTCCTATCTTTTTGCATGCATCATGATGTCATCATAGAGAGCGACCCTGTTT